AAAAAAAAAAAAAAAAAAAAAAAAAATCCACAAAAAACCTATGTTATGCAGAAAAATAAACTGAACAACTTTTGCCTCAGCGTCACATCGAAATTCTTCATCAAATTCAAAATAAAAAAATAAAATTTAATTTATTATTATATATCGTCACAAACAGAACTGCCCGGTAAACCGTAGGCAGAGAGAGAGAAGAGGATATATATATTTTTTAATGTTTTTGCCCCGGCCGGGCAAGTGAACCCGGGCCACTCTGGTAGCCTAGGTTTTCAGTAGATTTTTGTGTTTTTCGAGCGGGGGAATCCGATGCTATATGAGGGCCTCGCTCTGTTACTCATGACATGCACAAAAGACAAAAACTATATACCGATGTATTTCCCTGTGTTCTAGGGGAAGATGCATTCTCATTTTGCACTTTTGGTGAGTGGTGGAGTGAGGCCCTCTTTCGAGCACGCCACACCTGGACGGAACAACTTTCCTTTTCTTTATCATTTTCTTTTTCTTTTTTTCTTTTTTTTCCTCTCGATTTCATCTTTCACTATCTACCTACAACTACTCCAAAGTGTGAGGATTGTGCCCTCATTGGGGCCTCCAAAATGCATATGTTCTGGGCTAAGGCCCCCAACAAGCCTCATGCCCGCCCTAAGTGAAGGCGGGCCAGAATATCCACGAGGGGCCTTTCTTTCAGCATTTCGAGAACTGTGTATCAGACAGTTGCAGCACGCCAGTTGGTTGGAGTGCATCGTGAAGCCCAGACTCCTGCAGAAGCAGTTGAGCCCAGGGCCTCAGTTGGTTGAGCCCTGGGCACAGGCCAGGGGAGGCCGACACATCACACATTGGACGCTGGCCAATCGAAAAGCAGCGTTGTCGTCATAGAGGCCGAGCGTACCAATGGGAAACCGGCCCGCTATCTGAATCTGGACATTGGCCCTGGGCTGATGGGCGCAACTGTAAAAGTCTGGGCCCCATCTGCATTGGGGCTGGACACAGCTACCGGGGCCCAGTCGCAGGCTATAGGAGCCGCACACGCGCCTACCACGGCATATAGGCAGTCTGGGCGCAGGGGAAGGGATCTTGGCCAGTGCGGCATTGTCGGCACACTGCTGCATTGTGTAGCGAGGGCGTGCATGCTGCGCTAGGTGGTCAAGCGCGCAAGCGGGGGCAGAGGTGTGGGGCGCTGCAGGGCAGGGAGCGCCGGCAGCCATAGTCGGGCTGCTGGGCGCAGTGAGAGGTTGGGAGGCGAAGATGGTCTTCGGGAAGGAGGCGCAAGAGTGGGGAGACGGGATAGGAGTGGGGATCAACTGAGGTACTTACCTGGCGTGGAGAGAGGAGGTCGGCATTGGTGTTGACGTCAAGCACGCTGGTCTTCAAGTCGTCTGGTTGTGATCATGCTGTAGTTGCAGCTGTAGGGAGTATTGTAGGTAGGGCGCCAGCGCCGTTCCGAGAGAGAGCTACATTGGGTTCTGTTGTTGGTGTGGCCCTACGGGCTGGGACGTGACCTCACGATTCTGCTGTACGGTTCTCATATGAATGGTTGCTTGGTTCCAATGTGCCATCTGCTCTTTGTTTGACTACTTGGACTTCAGCGTGATTTTGCAATTTGGATTTCTGTACTTCGCTCACATTCATGTTCCTTGCAAAAGCCTATGCAGGGCAACCCTGCAAACATAGCTACCTCTACTCCTAAGCCTATTGTTACATGCTGCGCCTGCAACAGGTTGCACGGGCCATTTCCAGGCCTGTGACGTTTTCAGGCCAAAAGCCTGAAAACAAGGGCCTATAGGGCCCGTGTCGTTTCAGCCTGAAAGCCTGAAAACAAGGGCCTACAGGCCCTGTGTCGTTTCAGGCTAAATCAGGACCTTTCCGGCCCTGAGTATTTTCAGCCTGAAACTGAGGGCCATTTGCGGGCCCTCATCGGTTCGACCTGCCCTGAAACTCAGGCAACAAACCAGGGGTTTCGGCTTTTAGCACAGGCCATTTCGGGCCTGTTTTCAAGACAACCCCTGGTTGAGCTTCAACGCCAGGGTCTGGCACGTTTCGGCATTGGCAAGAGCAACCTCCTGGACGGGCAAGCACTATATAGGACTGGCCCGCCCTGCAGGCAGGCAGGTAGTTCCTAGGTACTTCCCAGGCACTTCACGTGCAGTTCAGGAGGCAGGAGGTAGTCTTCAGGATTCGGCAGCAGCACTCTGGAGGAGCGCTGCAGGAGTAGTAGTAGCGTTAGCATTAGTCTTCAGMGCTGGGCGCTRGTAGCGTTAGCTGTAGTCTTCAGCGCTGGGCGCCATAGCAGCTAGAGTAGTACTATAGAGAGAGAGATTGGGCGGAGGCCAGAGAGACTTACCTGCAGCGCCATTGCTCCAGCTTCGTCTTCGAGGTACCTGCAGCACAGCGCCATCTTCACAGGTTAAGAGAGTTCATCTTCTTCCTCTTCTCAGTCCACCATCTCCTTCTCACCCTCTCGCTATCTGACTTCACTGCATCAGCAGACTAAGAGAGAGAGAGAGAGAGAGCTTGGTGACATTTGGATCCAGACTCGACATTGGACTTCAGACATCTTGAAGAGCGATTATTTGGGACTTGTAACGAGACTTGGTGTTGACGACTTTCCCATCTCCCCCTTTCCTCCTCCTCGTCTGATCCCCTCTCTCTTCGTCTGTGTATGTCTGGACCTGGCGCCTCTTTCCTGTGTATAGCGCCAGGCCCCTTCACACCTTGTGATGAGCATGATGTATGTTTGGTCTGCGTTGAAACATTGATTGGGACTAGTCATTAGTATTCTAGCATTCTGCTTCGCTATCTTGTACTACGTGAAAGAGGTCAGTCCCGGTCAGGTCAGGACTTGTATCTGAAGTCTTCCCTGTGCTATAAAGCACCATTTTGTATGTATTGGAATGCACATTGCTTGTTGAGATTCCACGTGCACTGCATTGTCCATTCAGTCCTTTTTATCACATTGCGGATCCTCAGTTTATATGTACATTGCCCGACTGGGCATGGAACAATATCCAGGGGATTATCTTTCACTATCTACCTGCCACTACTCCAAAGCCTATGCAGGGTACCCCTGCAAACATAGCTACCACTACTCCTAAGCCTATCCAGGGGAATGCATGTTGCCAAGGTCTGTGACCAACACGGATGTGAGTCTGCGCGTGAGTGCGTTGTGGGTGGTGTGCGGGAGAGTGTTCGCAAAATGCTCGGTCTTTGCGTCTGTTGCCCTCCTCACCCGCGGCCCCGCCCGGCTCCCAGGAAGGGACTTCCGATTCGTTCTCATTGCAATGTGTGGGGGTTTTCTTTTTTTTTTTCTTCCCCCCCCCCACCTACTCTTGGCCCCGGCCGCGGACACGGCGGGCGTCCTCCTGTTACTTTTAAGCGATGGAGGAAGAGAAGTTAAGGAGCATCTGGAAGTTTTGTAATGCGACCCCAAATCATCAAAAAAAGGGGTTGGTAGGCCCCAGTATATGCAGGTTACCTGGGAGGCCTGGGCAGGCACCTGCCTGGTTCACACCAGGCAGCTAAGAGGTAGGCCTCAGTATCTGCAGGTTACCTGGGAGGCCTGGGCAGGCACCTGCCTGGTTCACACCAGGCAGCTAAGAAAACCTGAAATTATTTTTCCTTTTTTTTGTGGTGGGCCATTTCTGCGCCCACCACAATAAAGCTGGATCCTTGATGGGGTTTAAGCGGGTTTAAAGGGGGTTAAAAGGGTGCACTTTCCTTTGTCTGTTCTTTACCTTCAAATTAATAAGGAATTCTGAGGAGGGGACCTGAGGGGAGGCACAGGGATTTGTCCTGTTGGGATGGTCCCTGATGTTGCCGGGCGTCCCCTGGCCGGTATCGCCCACCTGCAGGTCGGTAGCAGCCCCCGCATGTTCCCTCGTGAACACGGTTCTGGCTACTACGGGGTTCCCCATATGCCTACGATTAGGAGTAGAGGTAGGTAGGTAGTGTGAGGTGAAATTGAGAGAAGAACGTAAAAACAACCGGGAAAAAATCAACTCCTATCCGTCTTTTTTGTTTTCCACCTCTTTTCTATTCGGCGAAAAACGACATTATGCCTGAGCTGAAAACATCTAACCAGTGCACCGCAATGGGCGCATCGCTCTCAGGAAAACCAGAAATTTATTGGAAAGAAAATGGCAGTTCCTACTTCTGAGAGACCGTTCAGTAAAAAAAAAAAAAAGGCAATTCCTTCTTCTGATAAGGTGTTGGCAATTGCCAAAAGATAATCAAAATCCAAAAACAAAAAATTAAAATCCCAGAATCTGCTTTTTTTTTTCTTTCTTTGAGGGGGGGGAAGGCTGGTCCGCGATCTGCTCCAATGCAATACAGAGGCAACACTGGAGGGGTCGACTAAGCAAGCTTACCTGATATGAAACTGATCAGAACAGATACAGTGCACTTGATCTTAGCCAAAAGGCCGAGAAAGGTATCTTAAACCACCACTCCCCCTCATTGCCTAAAGTCGACTTCCCGGGGAGTTAGGGCCGGAAATGGAGGGGGGCCGGCGACCTTAAAAAAAAAAAAAAAAAAAAAATCTGAAGCCTGAAGGTGTGAAAAAGTAGGCGCGGTTTTCATTTCAGGTGCTGCACTTTTCATTTTCTTTGATTTTTTCTTTAGGGGGGAAAAAAAAAAAAATACACGCAGTGAACCTTCCAGCACAAAACGGAAATGTACACCGCAATCATCCATGCGTGTCAGGGGCAGTGGATTCAGGCACCAAATGTGGTGGCACCTGCAGTTACGTTTTCGTTTTTTTTTTTGCAGAGTTAAAAAAAAAAAAACAAGAATGAGGTGAGGCCCACCCTGTACTACCGGTAGGCCGAAGGTGAAATACTAATATCGGCCTACCGGTCCCCCCTACTTTACGACGTCGGGGGTAGCGGTGGTTTAAAAAGAGATGCAAATTTATTTTACCAAATTCTGCGACACTAATATCGGCCTACCGGCCCCCCTTACTTTAGCACGCAAAGCATGTTGAGACAGTTCTCTCACTCCTGCGACAGCACAAGTTTAAGGTCAACTTAGAGAAGTGCGAATTCGGTCGCACTAAGATACTATACTTGGGTCATGAAGTATCCGCGGAAGGGATTAGGCCGGAAGATGCGAAGGTGGCTAGTATTTGAGACTGGCCACGACCTCAGACTGTCACTGAGGTCAAATCATTCTTAGGAATGTGCGGCTACTACAGGAACTTCGTAAAGAACTATTCTACARTCGCCTCTCCTTTGACTGATCTAACTCGACTTGACACCCCGTGGGACTGGAGTGATGAGTGCGAAGGTGCTTTCAAGAGATTGAAGCATGCACTCATGAATCATGAAGTTCTCATGGTTCCCGATCCACAAAAGCCATTCATAGTGACCACTGACGCAAGCCAATACGGCATTGGCGCAGTGCTGCCTTAGCCCTGTCTCTTATACACATCTAGATGTGTATAAGAGACAGGTGCTGGCTCAGCAGGATGGGAAAAAGTTGAGACCGATTGAGTACATGAGTAAGAAGATGTCATCAAAGAAGTTGGCTAAGTCCACCTACGAAAGGGAACTCTATGCTCTCTACAAGGCACTTGTCCATTGGAGACACTTCCTTTTGGGAAGGTTCTTCTATCTGAGGACTGATCATCAGACCCTCAAATGGATCAAGACTCAACCGGCTCTTTCTGATGCACTCAAGCGATGGATTGAGGTCATAGACCAATACGACTTCAAGCTTGAGTACCTGAAGGGAGAGTACAACAAGGTTGCASACGCGCTATCCCGTAGAGCAGACTACCTAGGTGCGCTAGTTTCTGACTTTGGCATATCTAATGAAGTAACTCAATCATTGGTGGGAGCCTATCAGGAAGACCCTGTCACGATGGACATCATCCGCAAGCTTCAGGCAAAAGACAAGGCCACAGAAAGTGAGTTTGTGATGGTGGATGGGCTAATCTATCTTGATAAGGCCCGAGTAAAGAGATTGGTAGTTCCATCTAGTGAACAGTTGCGTAGTTTATTTTTAGGAAAATGTCATGACGCAACTGGGCACTTTGGCTACAAGAAGACGAGTGCAAACTTAGTACAGCGATTTTGGTGGCCCAGAATGTTAGATGACGCAAAGAAGTATGTTGAGACCTGTCAGGTCTGTCAGCGGGACAAGCCGCGAACTCAAGCACCGCTTGGGTTATTGAAGCCTTTACCCATTCCTGATGGTCCAGGATTGAGTGTTTCCATGGATTTCATGGACACCCTAGTGACCAGCAAGAGTGGTAAGAGGCACATTTTCGTCATCATTGACAGATTCACCAAGGACGCTAGACTAATACCAATGCCAGAGACAGCCAGGACAGAGTATGTCATCAAGTTGTTCAAGGATAACTGGGTAAGGGACTTTGGTTTACCAAAGACCATCATTAGTGACCGAGACGTCCTCTTCACAAGTGAACTGTGGAAGAGGACTGCAGAACAGATGGGCAGTCAACTTCAAATGACTTCAGGGAATCATCCCGAAGCCAACGGACAAGCCGAACAAATGAACAGAGTGGTACAGCACTTGCTGCGGCATTACATCAAGCCCAGCCAAGATGATTGGGATGAGCAGTTGCCTCTCATCGCCAGCTTGTACAACAATGTTATTCATAGTAGTACCGGCGTCAGTCCCAACCAGTTGCACTTGGGATGGAAGCCTAGATCAGCACTAGACTTCCTCCTACCTGAAAACCGACCTGCTGCAACTCCAGGCACACTTGAATACGGTGTGCAATATGAGAAGTTGCTGCGCGAGGCTGTTGAACATATGAAGAAAGCTCAGCAAGCCATGATTGCTTCTGAGAATCAACATCGCAGACGGTCCACATTTCAGGTGGGGGAACGTGTCTGGGTCAAGGCTAGTGAGTTAGGACAGGAGTTCGGAATATCTCATAAACTAATGCCTCAATACTTTGGTCCCTGGGAAGTCTTGGATGTAGTGGGAGATGAAATGGATGGTTCTACGTACGTCATTCGTGTCCCTGGTCATCTACGCACTCACCCAGTTTTTCATGCCTCAAAGCTTGCACCTTTCGCTGAGACAGATCAATTCCCTTCCAGGAGATCGATGCTGCCCCCAACCATGGATGGTCAAGTTGACATCGACGACATTGTGGATCATGCCTGCTCCAAAACCGCTGGGCCGAGGAAGACCTCCCAAGCCCAAGAGAGAGTACCGCGTCAGATTCAGGCATCACACGGATCCAAGAGAAGATCGTTGGTTTACCAGGGAGGAACTGATTGACACAGCTCCTCAGGTGGTGGCAGACTATGAGAAGAAACTAAAAGGGAAGGCGCCTGCGAAGTAAGCATCTCAGCGGACTTTCGAAGCTAAGGGGGATGGAATGTGAGGATTGAGCCCTCAAGTAGGGGCCTTGCCATGATGTACATGTTCTGGGCTAAGGCCCCAGCAAGCCTAGTGCCCGCCCTAAGTGAAGGCGGGCCAACAAATTGACAAGAGCCCTCTGTGCAACATTTCACGAAGTGGGGTCTATACAGTTGCAGCACGCCAGTTGGTTGGAGTGCACCGAGTCTCGGATTTCAGCAAAGGCTGAAAGCCCAGGGCCTCTGAGTTGTTTAGACCCTGGGCATCTGAACGTGAGGCCGACAATGCATACTGGGAAGAGAGGCCGAAAATGCCAGAGGGAGATCGGCCCACTGTCTGAATCTGGCCGCAGCCCTTGATGAAGGAGGCGCAACTGCCTTACCCCGGGGCCCAACTGTATCGAGTTGGCTTCAGCCTCTGGGCCCCGGTCACAGGCTGAAGGGAGGCCGCCCACACACTGCACTGGCATATAGGCAAGCAGGGCGAGGCAGTGGGGGGCGGGGCCAATGCTGGCATATGCGGGCACGCTGCGCAAATGCAAGTGTGCTGCGCTAATGTAGAACAGCGCTGCGCTAAGAAGAAGCAGGGCAGCGCTAGGCGGTAGGGCGCTCCCTGCTTGCAGAGCACTGGCGGCCATAGACGGGCCGCAAGAGGGTGCAGGGGAGGTGAGGGCGAAGGTGGTACTTCGGAGGTGAAGGGCGCTGTGTGGGTAACAAGGGAGAGTGTGGGGAAGATGACACGTACCTGGTGATGGTGGAATACGGCATTGGTGTTGACATCATCAACTCGCTGGTAGTCAAGTTGTCTGGTTGCTGTTCATTGCTGTAGTTGTGGGATAGGCTGTAGAGTAGATAGGGCGCCTGGCGCCATTCACAAGAGAGAGCTACATTTGGGTTATGCTGTTGGTGTTGCCCTGTTGGGCATGGA